TTCTTCCCCTCCCTCTCTCCTCCCCCTCGCCGCCGCCGCCTCCCTCTTCCCGTCCAGTTCGGCCGCTCACCCCTCCCCACGAGACCGCGGGCCACGCTCCCCCTCCTCGCCTCCTTTCCTCTACGGCCTCCCGTCCCCCCACCGCGGCCACCATTCACACCTCCCACCCTCCCTGGGTTCTGCTCTCCCCCCCTTCCTCCGGCTCAATCTCCGCCTCCTTCCTCCTCCTCCGGGGCCTGCCTGTCTCCTGCACTCTTGGAGCCTGCACGCGGGCAAGCCACCCTCCTTCGCGATCGTGCACAGAATTCGCCTCCCCGGTGAAGCCTTGTTTACCGGCACCGCCTCCTGTGACCCGGCTCTCCAGGGCCCTTCTTTGTACACTTGGCACACAGTAGGCACTTAGTCGGCCCTCACTAACTTCTTGTGGAATGAATAAGCCTGTCTAGTGATGAGCAGCTTGGTTTTGGAGAGCGTGCTGAGTCTGGCCTTCTCCTCGCGTTTCTTCTTCTCTGACACAAAACGCTAGGCTCATGCGAGACCAGAAAAGCATCTTTTCTCACCTGTCTAGCCACAGCACCACACCCCACGTCAGTGCCTACGATGCGGACTTCTTTTCCTTATTTTCCCTGCTCTTCCCCCTCCTGCTCTGGCCTTGTAGGTATTGGTCTCCCTACCTAGGGTGGCATAGCCTACCCCTGCCACTCTCTCTCCCTCCCCTCCTTCTCCCCTGTCTCCTGACATGCCTTTTGTGGTTGGCTAGCAGAAGGAAAAGAGGCTTCCCTGACCTCTTTCCCTCCCCTCCTCCCTGCCAGAGAACAGCTGCTTCCTACTCTACACATGGAAAGGCCAGCCAGGACAATGTGAGTGCGGAAGGGCAGGTCTCAGCCCAAAACCTGGATAAGCGCAGCTAATTGAAGCGAAGTCCCCTCTTCCTACTTACTGCTTTTTTATCCGTCGACTGTTTTTCCTGAGACAAGGGAACAGGAAAAGGACCTTCTCAGAACCTGCCTCATGTTGATTTAATATTTACTGAGGACTTATGATGAGTTAGAAGAATATCCAGAAAAACACAGTTAGGCACCTTGCCTATGAAACACTTTCAGCGGCTGGCTGCAAGCCAAGCTTAACATAAAATACAATCTACTGTATTATCAGACCATTGCTCTCCCATCCTTTCCAAGTCTGATTTCTCCACAATTATAGCCAGGTAGCTTTGTCCAGTTACAAGTGCTGTACTGCATCTACAATAGGCCTTTATAATGCTCTTCAAGTGCTAATTAACAAAGAACAACAACAAACAAAATTTGATTCAGAGGCGTACTAATTCATTATCCTTACATGTTTTGTTAAATCCTCAGCAACATAAGCAAGAAACATTAAAGACAAAGCTGTGGAAACCCTGGCAATGACATGCAGAGACCTCAAGCAACTATGTTAAAAGAAGTAAGAATGAGGATGTAGTACTTAATAAATGGCTTCATTAATCCCTCCAACTTTCATGCTGAACTTTAGTTAGGAATTTGGCCTAGCCTGTTCTATGTTTATACAATGACCATGTGATCGGGCTGGGTGGCTCAGCCTGGAATTCCAACACTTTGGGAGACTGAGGGGAGTGGATTGCCTGAGCCCGTGGGTTCGAGGCCAGCCTGGGCAACTTGGCAAGGCCTCGTCTCTACAATAAATAAAAAATTAGCTGGGCATGGTCGCGCACGCCTGTAGTTCCAGCTACTTGGAAGGTTGAGGAGGAAGGGTGCCTGGAGCCCAGCAGGTCAACACTGGGGTGGCCGTGAGCATGCCACTGCACTCCAGCCTGGGCGATGGAGTGAGATTCCAATTTAAAAAAAAAAAAAAAAAGACCATGCTTAATGACTGTAGCCAAGCCAATTTTCTCACCTGAGCCACACATCCCTCTTTTACATAAATAGAATAGCAAAGTATTTTTAGGAACTGGATTCTGGTCTCATTTATGTCATTTATCTGCGATATCATCTCAGACAATTTTTTCACCTATTAATCGCAAGATACCATGATCTAATTCATAAGTTATACACATTTAAATGAGTTGAATTTTGTAGAGTATTATGTAGTATCTGGTGCATAGAAAGTGTTCACTAAATGCTACCTGTTGTTACCCATCCCTGTATTTGCATGTGTGCACACACTCAGATTCAGTGCCCTCCCCCACATCTGCATAAACAATTCTACCCATCCTTCAAAACCCACGTAAAATCTCACTTTTCCCAATACCCCACTCCAGCTCCCAGAGCTCTCTCCCTCCTCCGAACTTCTACAGCTTTTATTTCCTGCACTACTCATTTTATTTTGAATCACATACTGCCTTCCATTGTTCTCTCATTGTCACTCCTATCGCCCACACCCAACTCTTTGTGAGAGGGAATGAATGTTAATCTTTTCTAAATCTTCCGCAGCAGACCTAGCAGAGTGGCGAACACATAGTAGACACTAAATAAACACTAGGAGATTGTTGTCCTCATCAGTAAAAGAAAGACAGACAATAATTGAGCTAAAATGGTGTGTCAAATTTTAGAAAGGAAAAAACCTTCAGACAAATGTCCTGATCACTTCTTTGTTGGGATGCAGGCCAGAACCTTCTTGTCTCCAAACAAGAACAAATGAATTTTGCTTTTTAAGTAAAGCCTTGCAGCATACAATGAAAAGAGAACCTGGAATCCAGGCTCAGTTCAGTGAGAGCTCAAGGAAAATCATCCTCTGTACTTCAGTGTACTGAGAAGCAAAATGAGGGGGGTTGGACTAGAATGGTCTCTAAGATACCTGCTGGCTGTAATATTCTATGATTCCATGAACTTAACCTTCCCAGTCAAATTTGAATCTTAAAGCAGCAAAATAATCTACCTGGTTTGGTGATATGAGCATGTGGAGACAATGCCCTAAATTCTTTTGACTAAAGTGCCCTCCAGCTATGAACCCAGCTGATTTCCTGTGGAGTATGAACCATCAGAAATTATCTCTGTCATACCCACAGAAAAAAACTGAGACTCATAAAAGTGAAGTGACTTGCCTAAGATCACAAAAGTTAGTGGAAGAGCTGAAACCGCTCAACTTCCTCATAGAATTAATAGTTACAGTTTCTTTTTGAATAAACATAGTAATTGACTCTCCTGGCCTTGAAGCTCAAAACTTACATTTGTCTTATCTACATTCCTTTCTCAGGAAACCCAAATTGACCTTCCTGGCCTTAAAGCTTGAAACTTACAGTTGTCTTATCTGAGTTCCTTTCTTAGGAAACCGACCCTCAGGCCTATAGTATCAATAAACTAAAACTCACCAGATCACCTCATCCAGACAATGAGAAGCCAGATCCCTCCTGTTTGCCAATTCTTCTCCTTACCCCTCCCAAATGTCCTGTTCACCAACTCCTCTTTCTCATCCCTCCCTAGTTCCTGTTTTCTATATTTCTGCCCAACTGTAAAACCCCTGATTTCAGTGGGAGAGGGAACTGGATTTGAAAATGCATCTCCTGGTCTCCTTGACTGATATCACCCAAATAAAAAGATTTCTTCCCTGGAAATATTCATTGTCTCAGTGATTGGCTTTCTGTGTGGTGAGCAACAGGACCTGACTGAAGCTCTGGTGTTGGGTAACAGAGCAAGACTCGAACTTGGGGCTCTAACTCCTGGTCTAGTGTTCTTTCAACAGTACAGATCAGAATAAGCTTATTCTCTTTGACCTAACCATCTAACTTTTTCTCCTCCTGTACTTTATTCTTTGAATCCTCTCCTGCCCGCCCCTTTATCCACATTGGAACCTGAAAGTCATATGCATGTATGATCTCCCACAAGCAAAAAACAATGCACATTCCTGATATTATGTGAATTATTATCCCTCAGTAATAATAAACTACATGTGTATGGAGAATGAAGAGGGGACATCTTTATCTTTAGCTGTCTGCTTACTGTTTCTACCCCCACTCATATTATAAATATTTACTAGCATTCAAGTTATTTGCTGAGCCTCTATTATGTGCATAGGAATGTGCAAAACCTGTAGACAACATTTGCTCTCAAGGAGGTTAAAATCCAGCTAGAGAGACACAAACAAAAAAGGCTAGAAAGCAATAAATGAGGGAGGTATAAACAAACAGAACCCAAGCAGAAAAGAACTTCTATCACAAGAGCAAATCTTGCATGTATAAAGTGAGCTGCACAGGCAAGGAGAGTGAGAAGAATTAGGGGG